AGTAGATATAAATACATTATTTATTTAAATAAATAAAATGAGGTTGAATGGTAACAAACAGAATAGGTGTTTTGTTATGTTCTTAAAATATTAATTTACAAAAAATAATAATAATAATAATAACAACAACAACTAATTATTATTCCTTATTACACATACCCCTTCAATGTGTCCAGTCTTTAAGATTTTAATTGCTGCAAGCAGTACTTGTGTATAAAAAACAAAAACAAAACATTATTTATTTTTATTTTTTTTAATCTGTCCAGGGTGCTCGGTAAATATTTCCCAATGATGCCTCCAAAACTTATTTCGTCCCCACGCTATGAGTCTTACCGTTTTTCACCTGTTGAAGACATCGTCCAGATTTCTTTTATAAAGATAACGTCCTTCAGACAAAACATTCAACTCCTCTCTCTCTCTCTCTCTCTCTCTCTCTCGCTCTCTCTCTGGAAGGAGTTTGGTAGTGTATGAAGCTGAAGGCTGCAGTCTGGATGATATTTTAATGGTTCGTCTGTTCATGCGGCTTTGAACTCCAGCCGCCGGGGTTTCCTGCAGAGAGAAATCCCATTTCACAACTTCCACAACCCACAACTTTTACACACATAAGGGTGATACTTTACGGCCTTCATTTTTCAAAAACATAGCTTAAAAATATGAATAACGGAAAGAGACACCTCGTTCGCAGGTTTGAATATATTATTTGAAGTTTGAAGGCGTCTGCGGAAGGCCTACTGAGTGCGCAGAGCATGTGGTGTGTTAAAAAGGCACTCAGTTCTCGTTTAAAGTATATAATGAGAAGTTCAAAGCAATAATTAAATTGCAACAACAGTACAATACAAGTGTTTTGCATAAGCGAGAAACTTCATTAAAATGATGCATGTAAAGAAAGTCAACCAAACCTGAAATGCCCACTGCTAAAGTAGCCAAAAAACTTTATGCATAAGTGTTGCGGCCCAATCCTACATTGAATTTAATATCTTTATATGCAATTATCTTTATGTTTAATAGTGTGTACCATTGACAAATAAAGATGCAAATAGCATGGCAGAGCTAAAAAAATGTACGACTTCAACATGAGGCATGTATATTGCTAACTAACATAGGAGTATTTTTTTTCTCCACGTTTATGGAAAAGAATTTAAAAAAACGTGAAACGTAGCATTTGATTTTTACAAAGCATTTGGTTTTAGCACTTGGTTCTTCTGAATGAAACGCATGAGTTCCATGCCATTTAAGAACAGGCTACACTTTATCACATTGCAGCTAGTGTTTACTAGATGCGCGCCGGGTTCTTCTCAGAGCATCAGGCTTCCGCATAAGTAGGCCAAACGTGGAAGTACTCCGTGTCTAGGACAAAGGCTATTATTCGGCCATGCATTCACTAAAGTCTCTTTTCTGATTTTCAACATCCAGAGCAAAATCACAGTCAGCAACCTCCCGACAATCCCATAGATTGATGATGTAAACCGACCAATCGCACTGATGCTGAGGCATGGCGGGCTGTTATTTGGTGAGTGAATGTTAGTAGGGGGAGAGCGCCCTCTCCAATGATGGTCCAAGCACGGGGTCACGTGCTGCCCCCCTCCTTCCCCATTCATCAGGGGTGGACTGTGTTGTCTTTTCAATTCATTTATCTGCAGGAATGATTGCGACTATCAGTCTGAAGCTCACCGCCTGACTGAGGAGGTGAAAGTTGCGCCACAGGAAGATAAACCGCAAAAAGACAATATTGCACATGATTTGCGTGCGCATCGGATGAGCAGGAGAGGGAAATTCCTCTCTACTAAAAGTAAATAGGAATAGGGGATCGGAGTT